CGATTTCCTAACAAGGCATAAAACCTATAACACTGAGAGACTTTAGTAAAGGAGAACCTGAGTATATTTATCATAAACACCAGGGGTAATCAAAAGTCTGATAACCCTCCATGTTTTTCTGGATTTGATGCCGTTTGTTGTTTTGATGAGCAATTTTCATTACAGGACTTAGGAGAGTACTCTTATACTAGTGTATAGACTAGTAGTTTGACATAGGTAAAACCTTTCACACACTTTCTTTCGAATTTTGGTAAGTTGTAGCAGCTCTATAGAACCTTTTTGCGTCGGGGAACAACAGACGATAAACTGGATAGTGAGTGCGCCAGTGTAATCAACTTGTTAAAAATCTTACTCCAACCAAATTATAGTTATACTTTTGATGTTATCGACTTGTTCCTTATGTTGTTGTAGAGTATGTTGGATCAAGAAATGGATTTTTGATAGTCTTTTTCTAGTCATAGTAATTGGAACCCTGAAACAATGGTTGTTTATTGTTGATAAACCAAGCCAAGCTAGCTGTCTGGCACTAGCAGGTAAAGGTGTGGACAAGCCGTTAACTGTAGGGTAGTCTGGTCCCCAACAAGGAACATGCTATGTCAACAAGTTAATTGGCTGTATTGTCCACTTATCCCAACAAAGTGATCAGATTTCAGTTCATAAGAAGCCAGAAGTTAAATTTTTGTGATCTTATTAGCGCCCTAAAAGCGCATCCACACACAACATTCTTTTGAGTTACTGAACACATTTATAGAAAGTAGACAAGTTGTTCTACAACACTGTGTCGGGCCCAGAGTGCACAACATTTCCAAGACTTTGCTGACCCTGTATGAATATTGCAAGCATGTGATTTTTGCCAAAAATCTGAACATATTAGATAATATGTCTGTTGTAATAACAATGATACACCTGGGATCGATGGGATGTTATAGAGTTTTTACTGACGAATACATACATACCAAATTTGTTTTAAAAAAGTTTGTCTAGGGGTCCCGCCGGGCACTTGAAGTTTATAAATTTAGATGTGCTTATCATATCAATATTATAATATTAGCAAGTTATTCACAAAATTTATGTAGGCAGAGAGTTTGCCTTTGACCTTGTGCTTTAGTAGTTGTCGGAAATGTCAGAAAATAACCACCCAATAAGTGTACCCATAGTACCCAGAAAGTACTATTGCCATTAGACGTTGATAAAATGAATTATGAAAAGTATATTTATTGATACCACTTGATAAAAAAAATCCACATAAGCTTTGAAAAGAGCTATATACATAGCAGTATACTAATATGTACAATGTGTATCGTCTTTTATTGCTTTTCTGTATACATTTGTCATGTTCACGAGAGCCCCGGGCCCATCCTTCCAGCCCTGGCTTCACCATCAGACTTAAGAGCTTTTTTTCCGCCCTGTCGCGTCATATTTTTCAAGAAAAACTCCGAGAACCAACAAATTAAATTGGTGTGTCCTAATGTAGATAATGATACAAGTCTACAGGGTGCCGAGACCAGCACGAGTGAAAACGTGCCAATAAACTACTCAAGGTAGACTAGGTGTCACAACAGGACTATGTATAAATTAATTAATATATCCAAATGGATCAGCACTCAGTACTGATAGAATATTGTGATATTACTGGTGTCAAAATCAGTCAATACCAGCTGTCCACCGGGGGCTACTGCCACACCGCCAGCTCTACTGGTAACAACGAGGCGCACGTACCGCCCGTCTTCTGTAAACATGTCTACCGCCCCGCCTATCCGGACCAGCAGAACGTTTCCTGAACCGTCTGTACAGATTCCCATGACTTCGTCTGCCTCATTCTCGTCAGTTTCTGTTATACCTTCTCCGATTTCTGTCTTACCCAGGTCGATTACTGTCCGACCCTCGCCTATTCCTGCCAGCCCCATGCCGATTTCTGTTGAACCCAGGCCGACTTCTGACCGACCCTCATCGATGTCGTGACCCCCAAAGCTATAAAGGTACTGACTCCTGTTGTTATAGACATGGACACGTGCATCTCCAATACTGTCGGACACAAACAGGTTCCCCTCACGTCCCACAGCGACCACCCCGGGGTACCCCGAACCTTGCTGCACCCGAAACTTGTGCTCAACAGTACCATTGAAATGCAGAAGCTTGACTTCCCCATAACCCCACCAGTACTCTGTCGCTACCACAAGATTACGAAGTGTGTCCACCGTCATGCCGGAGAAAGAATTATTGCTGAACGTTGCGCGGAGTGTTGTTAGGAGACTTCCAAGTTTAGTGTAACGAACAATAAACCCTGACATTCTGTCCGCATTCCCAACTACCCACACATGACCCTCCCCGTCGATGGAGATGTCTTTGGGTTCCATCGTCTCGGAGTTTTCCCCCGAGATAACGGTGGGGAAATGGCGGAGGGAGATGCCCTTATTGCTGAAGACTTGAACCTGCCTGTTGTAGGTGTCCGCCACGAATATTTTGTTGCCAGGCGATACTGCGACAGCCTCCACTTCGGAACAATCAGAAAATTCTTCACAGTTCAGTCGAAAGACGATCGTCTTTTGTTGTAGGTCTTTGTTTTCGTTCTCTGGTAACAATTAAAAAGAACATTTATACTACACCGTACAAATTCAAAACATTTAAATTGTCGTACTACACGCGCCTTAGAAGTAAAATGTCGAATGAAACATGTAAAAGAATGATTGTTGTGATTTGTAAGTCATGTATATGACCAGGAAAGATAGGGTTTTATTAAAACACGATGTATTCATTCATGATTATTCATAATACTCAGTGACAGATCTTGATAAAGGCAATGCTTAGATATTATGCCTGAATCTATCTGGTAGTCTCACTGTTAACAAAGACACTGTTAACTGAAGCTAATGTGACCAACTAGCCAAGTGAGGTTAACATAACGAAGAATCACCTTTGATGTCTGGTTGTGGAGGCGATGTGTAGTTTGTATACTGGGTTACGTTAGTTGGAGTCTTGACTTCAAAACTTGTGTTCATCCAAGTAGTCTGAGTATGGAAAAGAACAAAATAGTCTTCAGTAATAAACAACTACAGATGTAAACAAGTTAAATATATATAATAAACAAAAAAAAATAAATGAAAAATTGTTCTCCAAAATATTAGTCTATTTATTTTAACGTACAAGAAAACGTACCGTTTGCATGTAGCTGCCTTGCTTCGCTGGGACGTAGATTGAGATGATAAGTGCTGTTATAACCGCTAGCGTCGCCACGATCAGGCCTTTAATAATGACACCCACCAGACAAGATTGAGACACCACACAACTATGACCTGGAAAGCAAGAATAAATAGAAAAACAAAATTCAAACATTACCATAAAGGCAACTGCATACCCTTTGTTCAAAAAAATTCAAAATATTATTATAAATCTCTGATTTTGTTGCCATCCACCAGTTCGTAAAAACTGTAAGCCTTTTCATAAAAAAATTGCTGCGAAAATGCTCTACGGACATTTTATGATGGTAATTTAAACAAGTGCTTTTGCAAAAGCTGCCATTTTCGCAGCAATTTTTTTATGAAAAGGCTTACAGTTTTTACGAACTGGTGGATGGCAACAAAATCAGTGTCAGATATAGTGATTAGTCTCTGCAATATATTTCTACGGACATTTTATGATGGTAATTTAAACAAGTGCTTTTGCAAAAGCTGCCATTTTCGCAGCAAATTTTTTTATGAAAAGGCTTACAGTTTTTACGAACTGGTGGATGGCAACAAAATCAGTGTCAGATATAGTGATTAGTCTCTGCAATATATTTACACAAATATGAGTAATGTTATTATAGTCATGTACATATAAGAATTATAAACTTTAGACATAATAGACTAGTTCACATGTCATTACCGGTAAACTTATCATTACTTTTTTACCATCAGTATCATATTTATTTCTTAACAGTTTTAGTAGGATCCATACTTCTGTGGTGCAGGTACAATTTGTATGGAGTAGGTAATTTTCAATGTTACATGCACCACTTCAGGTATGCAAAAAATGTATTTCGAGCCCTGAGTGCATTCACTAGGCTATGTTTAGTTCCATAATTTACCAACATGGCTAGCAGACGACATGCCCCCCTCCCACCCTTACGAAGTTGTTTACGTCATGTTTATCCCCACTCCGATAGAAAACTAATGCATGGAATAAAAGGTGACTACTGTGATTGAATCTCCTCTATTTTTTGTGGAAACCAAATTCAAATAAAGTTTGAGCCGAGATACATGTATTTATGTCAAAAGACGAGATGACGAGGCCTCCCCATCCCTACTACTACTACTAGTATGAGTGCTTACGTACGGCCGGCTTTGTTTACATCATGTAAAGCGCCACGCCGATGGAAAACTACACCATGGAATAAAACGTGACTACTGTGGTGCGATCTCCATTTTATAGGCTTCCCCTTTGTGGAAACAAAATTAAAATTGGTCAAGTTTGAACCGAGATATGGAAAGCTGAAAATCTAGACTAAGCCACACTGCCAATGCTTATTGACATAATTTATGCAGTTTATTAAATCCTTGATTACTGTGATTATAAACATGTTTTTATCAAAATTTTTGGCAAATAATAAAATCAAGTTATTATTTAAGACCAATTAAGTTTGTTTTGTAATTGTCAGCAGCTTTGTTATGCAACATTATTACAACCATGATTTTGAAATTAGAAACCGCAATAGAAAGTATACAAACTTCCAAGGCATGGATAAATGTTCTAACATGGTCTTGCAATGTCTGTTCACCCACCCATGGATGGAATAAATGTTTGTTCTGGTATTATTACCATTTTCGCCTTAGCGAAAATGGTACTTAGCGAAAATGGTAAAAAAAATGACCGAAAATGGACGGTAGGAGGAATAAAACCTAAAATATTCCTCAGGGAAAGTGAACGGCCCTGAGATTAGTGAAGTTCCAAACTTCTATAATTATAGTTATCTGCATTATACCATTTGCTCCTTCCAATCCCCTTTTCTAAAAGCTACCAATTATCACCATGTTGCCGGAGATAATAAAGGCAGTTATTTATCTGTGTTCAATATCATATCGGACTAGAAGCTTGTATTTGTGTTAAAGCAAGTGAAACATACTGATGAGGTAAATTTTGTTGACGCAACATAGGGTAACAATGTGGTAATTTTGGTAAATTTGCGGCATCTTACCTCCATCTGCCCTTGGCTGTGCAGCATTTGGAGCGTACATGGGGTTTTGGTGTAACACGTTCCCGATGTACATAGGGTTCCGAAGTAGACCGTCCGTCTTACCGGCAACAGACTCTGCAGTCGACATTATTTGGACAGAGGTTAACCAATGTTCAGCAATGCTACTTTTGACTTGTAGTACCTTTAAACTTAAGCTGTTAAACATTATGGATATTAATAACAAATATGCTAAAACTATATTCTGAAATAGCCATCTGTAGCTATATGCCTTTAACAAAGGATGACGTAAACTATGGATAAAAACAAACTCAATGATAAAGCATCGACAATATCCTCAATAAGAAATTGTAGTGTTAAAACGATAAAAATCAGCTATGTCCCAGCCATACATAAGTAATATTTTCATGATTGGAATTTGGCATGATAGATTTTTCGTTTGGTTGACAAGTCTATTGAAATTCCCTATAACGTTGTAACTGTCACAAACGTACCTAAACTGGTGTTGGGTCCTCCCCATTCGCTATGAGAACAATCAGCAGACTCGCCAGTCGGTTGTTGTTCCTCATAATTTATATCCTGTTCATCGTAAGCAACGGCGTAGGGCTGGACGTCAAAGGTATCGTCTTCTTCATCGTTTGTTTTGATGTCCGGTTGGTGCGCGACTGCGTACGGACGGATACAACTATCGTCTGCAGTAACGTCCTCCTCCAATTCAAATTCATTCTGATAAGAGTTTTCAGCATCCTCTAATTGCTTGGCGACAGGCTGGTCTAAGCCCCCCGCTCCTTTTTTTGAACAATCAATGCCAATGCTTGCCTCGTCGACATCCTCACTGCATTGATAGGCAGTGGCAGATACTTCTTTAACACAGGTATCCCTTAGTTGGTATTGTCCTTCGTTATATTCGTTATAACCTTTGGCATCGTACATGTCATTTGACGACTGTTGTTCTGCCTTTTCCAGTGAATTATCAGCACGGAGTACTTGATGTTGTTTAACATCGTCAACGTGTGTGTCCGATGTACACGTTTCCGGTGACGAAGGCGTTTCTGAGTAAAAAGCCTGATTCTGGTCAGTTTTCCCGATGTTTTTATCAGACGGGCAGACAGTCGGTAGCGATGGACGCTCTGTCCCGTCGTCAGTGCTGTGACCAGGTACATGGTCCTGGACAGAGTGTTCAGCCGAAGCGCCGCTAAGACCGTCCTGTAGCGACTCTTTCACATCCCCGGGCGACGTGTCGTTCCGCTCTTCTGGGGTGGCTGAGTCCCAGTGTTGCTGTATGTCATGTTGGTTCACAGGGCTTGATGTAGACATAGAAGAATCGCAGATTTGAGTTGGATTTGCAACTGTATCGTCCATATCATATAACAGAGTCAATGCAGTGATGTTCATGGGCACTGACGGTATCACAAGTAACGTTGGACCTCCTAAAACCCTACGGACCGAATAAAAATCTGTTTATGATTTTTTTGTGATTTGTTACAGGCTACTATGGTTTTATTGTACTCGTTTACACATAAATATGAGTGTAGACTAATTATAACCCATTGGGTCAGTAGACAATCATCGCAATAATTTGTCGTGCCGATTAAATGCTGATTAGTCTAGTCAATAGCGGAAACTGATGAATACGCAACAGAAGATTCTGTAATTAATTGCTATGTTCGGGGCAATCGATTGTAACTTTAATGTTTAAATAATGGATATATTGTGTACACGTCTGTAAATATTTTAGCTGGCGAATAGCACGATTGCTACTATCTGTATGCCATATGTAGATTTTGAAAAAAAACTATAGCCCAAAT